GGGCCGCGCAAAGGTCGCCGGGCATGGGAGTGCCAAAGCGCGCTTTTCCAACTCGCGCACGGACCCGCGCTGCCACAGAAATTTCAGGGGGGGGGGGGGCGAGTGCTTAAGTGCACCTTAAGCTTGCCCGGTGTTCGATATATCCATCCGAAGGTTGGTTAAAATACCATTCGAGATAAACATGCGAATTTTAATACTTTTACAAAAGAATTTCAAGGGGATAACTTTTGAATTGGATATAGCTGAAAATTCAATATATGTGGGTTTGATGTAACCGTGTTTGACTGTACATACATAGAGAATGCACGACCCATGGCTTCATTAAGGAGCTTCGGCCCTACAAGTGTGCTTTGTCTCTATGGCACTCTATTGCCTTGAGGCAAGATTCGTGCTGCTTAGAAAGAAGCCATTGTAATTTATCCTGAAACAAGGCAATTTTTTTTTTCAGTTACAAACCTACCGTAATTACTCGAATCTGACGCGCACCTTTTTTCCGGTTAAGCGAGTTCATAAATCGCACGCGCGTTAGAATTGAGTACGAACAAAAAAATTACGGTCAAATTATTGCCATCGGCAAATCCAAAACGGCCGCCCCCTACGTGCGTCGGCATAGCGCGTCGGCCATTTCTGGCTATGTGTTTTTCATGTGCGGCTCTTCGTGCGTGTGCTGAGGAGTTCGTCATCTAGTAGTGCATTTGAATCGACGGCGTGGATGGGCCGACTCCCAAAACTCGAGTGCACCACGATGCCGCTTTTAAAAGAAAAGTCATCGCGTGTGCAGAAACGGACGGAAATCGGGCCACATCGCGGTCATTCGAAGTTCCCGAAATGTGCGTGCGGGACCGGCGGAAGCAAAAGCAGATGATTGTCGACAGCAAAACTTCACGCAAAGGCTTCTGTGGACCACACCAGGGTCGGTTTCCGCAAATTAAGGAGCTGCTCGGCGAGTATGTGCTTGAGCAGCGAGTCGCACAGCGGCCCGTGACGACAGAACTGCTCCAAGTGCGGGCTATCCAATTAGTCTTAGAAAAAGGTCTAATGCGGAGCCAGTTTTAAAGCGAGCAGGTGCTGGCTAACTAACTTTAAGAAGAGGAAAGGCTTTTTCCTCCGAAGGGGAACATGCATATGCGAAAAGTTTTGCGGAGGAGTACGATGAAAAGCTTCACAGTTTTCAGAGGTTCGTCCTAAACTTGCGGCGCAACAACGGCTGCCTGCTTGGGCAAATCGGGAATGCCGATCAGACGCCTCTTTACTTCGACATGCCTGGCACCACAACCGTCGAGAAGAAGGGGGCGAAGCAAGTTCGCGTGCTGACATCGGTTTACGGTAAAACTACAGTGACGGCAATGGTCTGTTACACGTCAGATGGGCACAAGCTTCGCCCGTACCTCATATTTAAATGGAAGACGCTCCCGAAAGGAGTCGTTTTTTCGAGTGGTGTGATCGTGCGAGCCAGCAAGAGAAATGGGTGCGCGTTGCAATATATATCTTACGTTTTTTTTTTTTTTTTTCCGCGGTGGAAATCGGGTGCGCGTTACAATCGAGGGCGCGGTAGAATCGAGTAAATACGGTAACAAGTTGTCTCTGGAAAGTATTTGAAAAAAAGTTGGTGACTATTACATTTTTAAAGCAAACAAATTACTAGACCATGGGGTTTTCGGGGGAGTAGTGGTTAATACACTGAGGCATATATTCACAAAGCATTCCTCCACAAGCAGTTGTTTTTGTCTGTATTCCTAGACATCGAAAATTCCTATGGTGAAACATTCCAGCTGAAAGTATATACTGAGACGTTTCGCAAGAGCTTAGGTATGTGGGGTAGGATGCTGACTATAATTGAAGATTACTTGTCCTATTGCATATTCAATATTTAAGTGGGAAATGTCTTATCATGACAGTTTGTTCAAGAAATGAGAGTAGTATCACAGCATGGTGTCTTCAGTTGTACAGTTTTTCTTATAAAAATGAATTTCTTGTATTTGTGCATCCCACACAGTACCTTTCATTTCGCAGTACCTTTTATTGCATTCTAAAGGTGCTTTCACACACAGCATATGGTAGCAATAAAATGTGCCCAATTAATTTATACAAAAGCCTTCTATGCACACATCCAGACTATGGTGCCATAGTTTATCAGTGTTCCACGCTAAGCACTTATAGTGCTGGATGCTGTCCACCATTTAAGTATTTCTCTTTCTACAGGTTCAGCAGGACAAGCCCTGCACAGAGCTTTAACTTGGAAGTGTGGTAGCTTGGGCTAGTTGGTATGACATGACGATAGTTATAGCGCAAGAACAGAACGACAAAGATAAAAAGGAAGCGCTTTTGTCCTTCGTGTCCTTCTTGTCTCTTTGTCGTCGTTCTGTTCTTGCGCTATAACTATCGTCTTGACTTAAAATCAGAGATTGCATTTTCACAATGTATATGTCAAGAATGACCATCTCACACAATTTCTCAGACATTATTTGTCCAGCCATCAGGTTCTTAAAAACCGCCCTGCAGTGACAAAGATCTACTCGCTGTGTGTGAAAGGTTTGTCAGAGATAATAAGATTATAATTGAAAATTTCTTGTGGTTCCCACTATACATTTTCGACCATGGCCGTGGCACATATCCTTTGTTGACGTTGCGCATATCCACGCGTACTTTCTAGAACTTCAGTGCAACTTTTCTTGCCTTTGTTCAGTACAGTCTCAATGGGGTATCTCTGTCACTGTGGCTGGATCCTTAGATGTTGTCATGCTGGACCTAGCTTATTTAAGCCAGACCCTAATTTGTCAGCCGCTAAGCACATGAAGGAATCAAACATACCTAAAAGAGTATTATTCACAGATTTTTCAAGTGTTGTTGAGGCTTCAGAAACTTGAAAAAATTCTGTGATTATATTGCTGTAGCAAAATCGACTGTTGGGCTAGTGCTCGTCAGTTTTAGTTCTTGTTTCATGGTGTAGCTGTATTCTCTAGAGTATAAATTTCGGCATGTTGGTAAGACATATTCTCTGTTCTCTGTTGTGTACATTTTATGCACCCAGGCGTCGTGTCATGGTGCCATTCCACTGCATGATTGAAGGCAATATGTTGGCTGACCAGCTAGCCACTCATTCAAATGCTGCCAACATGTCCATGAGTGTAATGAAACTTTTCCAAGAAAGAAGCTCAAGGCAGCACCTATGGAATAAAGAAATGAGCTGCATTTTCTGTATTGGAAACTGGCTGGTGGTAACAATTAAACTCACGCCATACTGAAGTAACGCTTTGCAGAATATGTGTCCCCCCCCCCCCCCCCACCAGTGATAAACTTAGCCTCTGTACTTGACATAGTGCTGGAATGCCAGCAAATACAAGCAAATAGGCAATAGCAAGTCTGACTTTGTTCAGTATTGTAAGGAAGTGTTCTTTAAACCTGTTTCATTGAGGGCTCCCTTAACCACCAACTGTGTGCTTCTCTTTCCACTGTGGCCATTCAGGTGGCACCTGTCTGATTAGGTGATGTCACTAATGGCAGAAAGGTAGGTGACCAAAAACCTTTTTTCTCTGCCAGCTGTTAGGAGGAGCACTCTCAGAGGTCAATAGACAAATGCAGGGCAGCAGTGAAGGAAAGAGTGAAGGCACGCAACAAACCAGTGAAAAAAAGACACAGACGGCAGCACTGCGGCCACTTTTCTATTATCAAAGGCATGTAACTCTGCTTGTGTGGACTTGTACACAAAGTTTCACGACCTCTGGATGATTTACGAGCTGTTTACGTAACTTTCCGGTTTTCATATCATATGCACTCGGGTGATCATTAGCGCAACCCCTTAAGAGTGGCCACTGCTGCAGTAGTTTTATTAAAAGAAAGCATTTACCACAGGGAGCTCAAGGGCATTGGTAAGGCTTTACCCACACTCCTATATCACCAGTAGCAGTCATTCATTCTCATCACTTCTCACTCATCATTTTAATATGCCAAGTTTTAGGACCCTGTACAGCCATTTAACATTGTCGTCGCTTTGGCCATCATTGGTTTTTGTGCCATATAGCACCATGTAGCGTCAGCACACATTCAGGCTTAATGAACCTTTCTGTTGATGTTGTATAACATGTTACATTTTTTAGCACAAAAGTGGGGAGCAAAGGAAATCTAACGAGAGAGGAAGAAATGCAGTGGACTGGGTAAGCGCTAAACACCAACTGACTTTATGCGTGCCATCGCTGTATCGCTAATCAAGCATCAAGTAAAAAAAGCTGCACTCTTTAGTGAATAAATAGATAGAAGTGTCAATGATGTTCTCTGTGTCCTTGCTCTTCATGTGATAAGGTTACAGCAACTACCATCTCAAGGTGTCAGTATTTCTTTTCAGGCTCTTAATCTCACAAAGCTGCGGTGCACACGTGCAAGCAGCGAAATGGACTGGTAAATTTGCAGTGCATTTGTTTTACGAAGACAACTCATGTTCCCACTCATGGTCGTCGATATACCTTCCACTTTGACCTATGTAGGTGGTATGGCAAACACAATGCCGATTGCACGGTTTACATAATGCCTAGTTTGTTTGTTTGTTTTTTGGCATCTACTCCTTGCTTTTTTTTTGGCATACATGTGCTAACTGGCTGCGCAGCTTTCGAGGAGCGCAGAGCACAACTGATGCATTGCTTTTTGGCAACTTTCTCAAGGTTGTGGAACTACCTGTGAATGTACAGCACCACTCCAGGCTTCACCTGTGCGACATAGTTGGTATTTAGCGCTTACTATGTGCACTGTGTTTGTTTTTCTCTCATTCTAGTTTCTTTGCTTTAGCACTTAAGATATGTTGCATGTTACATTCAGCTTGGCTTGACCACTTTTTTTCGTGCACTATGCCAGTGGCTGCTACTTTTTTTTTATTGTTGTGGCAGAGAGCTGGCATTTACTTAATAGGGCCTGTGAGTCTTTTATTGGTTGGTTGGCAAGGCTGGAACAAGGTTTCTGAGGTGCTTTAAAAGAGCATTCATCCAAGCTTTAGTGTTCTTGCTGTGCAGTGGTCTTTGTGGAGGGCGGAAGACTTGGAGCATAGAATGCAGCGCACCTTGGCCATTGTTTCGTCACTGCGCAGTGCCAGGCTGTCATGTGGGTTGAAGCAGCCCAGAGGTGAGATTTTTTGGTGCCTTTTGTGTAATTACAGGTGTGTTTTGCTTTGCTTTGTTATAATTACTACCAGCAAAGAAGTAAAAAGCAGCATTGAAATTTTGACAAACGCGCAGGAAGATAGGTGATGACAAGTGCTTACCTACAAGTGGTCATTATTTTGAAATGTAGAAAAATTTATACCACTGGCAGAACACACGTGTCTAACACTATGCTGTTATCCCTCTGACGTCAATCTCACTGCATCACAATTCTGTGACACAAACACGTGTGGTTCATCTCAAAGATATAAGGTCAATTTCACTCTGAGAGAGGTTTATAAATGCTTTACCAACACTTTTACTTCTAAGGCACATTATTTCATCAGCTTCAATTATTTCCCTTGTTTTTTTTTGTTGTTGTTGTGTCCCGCGATGACTTTTGTTTCGTGAAACTTGGGTGTGCAGCCACAATCTCTGCAAGTGATGCAAGGTGGTTGCTAATAGCTACTTTCTCGTCATACTCGTGCTCCTTCGTTTGAGCACATTCCCATTTGCTATACGTATCTTTTTCCACAGGACAGTGGGATCGAATACAAAACATTTTCTGCGCATTCTAGGAAGGTAGGTTTCTGGTTTTTTGCACACAGCTGGTGTTTGCTTGCGGGATTGTTTAGTTGCGCATACATCGTCTTTAACTTTCTCAGTGCAGAGAATAGCATTCTCACATTGGCATGCCTCGCTATTTTTTTTAACTTATATGCAATCCTATGCATATAAGGTGTTACAATAAACTTTTGATTTTCGTTGCAATCTCATGCTGATTGCCTATCCTGGCTGTCCTTAAGCTTTTTTAGAAGTGATTCTGCAACACAAATGAACAGATGCAGTTTATAACCTGCTGCCTTAAGGCATTTTAGCTGTTTCCTGAAGCTCTCTGAAATTAGGTGCCTACTTGAATTCTTTGAGTTGAGCATGTTGTAGCAGATCTCACCAGCTTTGGATGGCTAAAATCGAAAGGCAGTAATGGCTAGCTGGTTCGCAGCTCACGCGCCCAGCAGGTGTGATCTGTGACAAACTTAAGCTTTAGATCCAGAAACTGAATAGTCCTCCTTACTGGTAACTCATATGTTCTAACAAGTCACTGAAAATACGTTCGGAATTCATTTATCTAATACTTCAAGCATTAAGGGTTGAGGGCCTGCTTCGTGCGTGTTTAAAATTACCAAAAATATTGTTACAAGAAGGAGACCGACTCGGAGGGGTAGTCAGAGATGTATTTACAGCCAGTTAAATGAGCAGTGCGAGCCACAGAGATTAGCTCGCGCCTGTCTTCTTCGTCGCCATGCACTGGCACGTAGCATGACCCCCGGCGGCGGAGGCACCATTCCGGTGCTTTAAAGGTCATTATCTGATGCATTCTTGTAGGGCTTGATCGGCGATACGTGTACAATATCACTGGACCGCACAGCAGATGATGATGGATCGATGGGGCTGATCTCATAGGTGACAGGTGTTACTTGACGCAATATACAGTAGGGTCCTGTATAATGAGACAAACCTTTTTTTGATAGGCCCAGTCGACAATGAGGGGGACCAGAGTAAAACGAGGGTACCAGGAGTGAAATGTACGTCTCTATGTTCTGCATGGTACCGACGGCATTGGTTGGTTTGCGACGCCATCAGCCGAGCGCGAGTGAGCTGACGGGCATGATTGGCTCACGGGATCGCGTCGCGGGCATACTCGCTGGTGGACGAGGTTTTAGCTGAGATGACTGTGTCCAGTGGTAAAGTCGACTCTCTTCCGTACAATAAGTAGAATGGCGAAAAGCTTGCTGCATCATGACGGGATGAGTTATACGCGAAAGTTGTGTGGGGTAAGGCAAGGTCCCAGTCTCGGTGGTCGGACGACACGTACATAGCAAGCATATTTGTTAGAGTACGGTTAAATTGTTCCGTGAGGCCGTTTGTTTGAGGGTGGTAAGGGGTTGTCAGTGTGTGTTGCGTGGAACAAGAAAGCAGAATGTCTGCGATGACTTGGGATAGAAATGTACAGCCACGGTCTGTGAGGAGTTGTCTTGGAGCTTTGTGAATCAATATATCGTCCCGTAACAAGAAGTCAGCAACGCCAGTTGCACAGCTGGTCGGTAGAGCTCACGTAATAGCGTAGCATGTAGCGTAGTCTGTAATCACGGCTATCCATTTGTTTCCCAATGTTGAAGTGGGAAAAGAACCAAGCAGGTCTAACCCAACTCGGTAAACTGGTTCCGCGGGCATGTCGATTGGTTGAAGATGGCCAGTGGGTAGCAGCGACGGTGTTTTACGACGTTGGCATAGGTCACATGTGGCGACGTATGGGCGTACCGAGCGAGCAAGGCCTGGCCAGAAGAAACGGCGCCGGACGTGCTAGTACGTGCGGGATACGCCAAGGTGTCCTGCCGTGGGAGCCTCGTGAAGTTCGGTGAGAACACAGCGGCGCAAGTGCTTAGGCACAACAATGAAAAGGTAAGGCCCATCTGGTTGGAAATTGCGGCGGTATAGCACACCTTTTTGAATGCCAAAGTAGCGGACGGAAGCATCATTTGGGGAGGATTCCGTGCGGCTGATGATGTCATGCAGCACTGGATCGCGCTTCTGTTCTTCCCCAATGTTAAGGAAGTAGGACACTGACAAGATAGAGTTCTGTGTGGGCTCGTCAGTGTCCTCAGGATCATCGACAGGGTACCGGGAGAGGCAATTGGCATCATGGTGTAGACGGCCCGATTTGTAGACCACCGAATATGAAAACTCTTGCAGGCGCAAAGCCCAGCGACCAAAGCAGTCTGATGGATCTTTCAAAGAGTTGAGCCATCAGAGCACGTGGTGGGCAGTAACTACTGAAAATGGGCGTCCGTATACATAAGGTAGGAATTTCGCCACCGCCCATGCAAGAGCCAAGCACTCACGCTCTGTGATCGAATGGTTACGTTCAGGTGCAGATAGGAGGCGGCTGGCATATATAGTAATGCAATCATGGCCATGTTGTGTCTGAGCCAGCACTGCACCAATTCCATGTGCACTCGCACCTGTACGGATTCCCGTAGGGGCAGCAGGGTTGAAGTGTGCCAGAATCGGAAAAGTAGTGGGAAGAGCGATAAGGGTCGAGAACGCGGAAGCCTCTTCAGAGCCCCATGAAAATTGAACATCTTTCTTGAGGAGCTGCGTAACCGGCCTCGCTATGTGCGCAAAATTTTTCACGAAGCGTCGGAAGTAGGAACGTAGTCCTATAAAGCTGTGTACATTCTTCGCAGATCGTGGTACAGGAAAGTTTTTGATGGCGCTAATTTTTGCCGGATCTTGTTGTACACCGTTGGCATCTACTAGATGGCCAAGTACTGTGATTTGATTGCGTCCAAAGTGACATTTCGGCGAGTCGAGCTGCAGGCCAGCGTGACGGAAGATGCCTAAGATGGCTGATAGGCGCTCTATATGAGTTTCAAATGTTGGTGAAAAGATGATGATGTCGTCCAAGTAGCACAAACAGGTAGACTATTTGAATCCTTTGAGCTGGGAGTCCATCATTCGTTCGAAGGTGGCTGGAGCGTTACAAAGGCCGAAGGGCATGACCTTGAACTTATATAGGCCATCAGGGGTGATGAATGCCGTCTTTTCAAGGTCCATTTCATCTACCTCTATCTGCCAGTAGCCGGAACGAAGATCTATGGAGGAAAAAAGTGGGACCCATAGAGGCAGTCAAGTGCATCATCTATTCGTGGTAGAGGGTCCACATCTTTTTTTGTAATTTTGTTGAGGTGTCGATAATCATCGCAGAAATGCTATGCACCGTCTTTCTTGCGGACTACCACTACAGGAGAAGCCCAAGGACTGCAGGATGGCTCAATGATGTCGTTGGAGAGCATTTTGTCGACCTCACTTTGGATCATGTGACGCTCGGCCGCCGACACCCGATATGGACGCCTAGGAATAGGATGCTCATTACCAGTGTTTATGCGGTGAGTCATACCAGTAGCTTTCCCCAACAGACGGCCATTGAGGTCAAAAACGTTGACGTAGGACAGCAGAACCCGGTGGAGCTCGTCAGTGTGCTGCGGCGTTAACTTGGAAGCAATGATCAACAATAGCGCTGTCGGAGCAAGTGTCAGATTGATGTTGAGTGTTGGGGTCAGAAGAAGCGACCATCGTGAAAACATCTACCGCATTGTCTTCTAAGGTGCAGAGCAACGCCCAAGAAATCCCTTGTGGCAGCACTTGAGGTGACAAGCTAAAGTTGACAACTGAGAGACACGTGGAATTTCCTGCGACATTCCTGCGACAGACAGAATGGAATGTGGTTATGTAATGCCACGGTTTATGAGGACATCGGCGATAGGGGTCAGAACATAGTCACCGTCGGTAACTGGTGGTATTGAGACGAGCTCTAAGTAGGTCAGTGTCTGTGGAGAGAGGCGCGCATGTCCTGTTGTGCAGAGGTGACTCGGCCGTTGTACAAGAGGTTCTGTTGTGGGCAAGTATATTTATTTATTTATTTATTTATTTAGGTACCCTAAGGGCCCAAATGGGCATTACATAGGGGAGTAATGGGTTGAAAGCCGACACAACATACAATATTGTAAAAAGAAAGAATCAACACAACAAAAGTGACATTACAATATCATAAAGGCAGCAAAAGTACACAATTGCAAAGTACAGCGTGAAACATATAAAAAAAGTGTAAAAGTGACAGAAAATCTGGTATTTGGAAGGCAGGAACACAAATTTACAGCCTATAAAAGATGAACATGATGAAGACAAGTTACAGGGTATTTAAATAGCTAGAAAAGCGAGGAGTGCGGTTTGAAAAGAAGAGGTGTCTGTTTGGTCCACTAGGCTGCTAGGTAAAGAATTCCATTCATTGATTGCCAGAACAAGGGGTGAGTTCTGATATTTGTTTGTTCGGGCAAAAATTTGGCCTATTTTTGAGCGTGGTCAGCGCGTGCGGACGTATAGGGTGCCGGGAGTATAGGGTGCCGGGAGTATAAATTTGCG